TAGTGCTCTACCACTTGAGCTACAGCGCCACTTCCGGTTTTCTGGTGGTTTATTGGAGATAGGAGTCTCACGGTCTCTCCTGCCCAGGCTGGCTTTGAACCGTGATTCTCAGATCTCAGCCTCCTGAGTAGCTATGGAGAATTTTTTTTTTTTTTTTTGCCAGTTGTGGGGCCTGGACTCTGAGCCTGGGCGCTGTCCCTCAGCTCTTCAGCTTAAGGCTAGCGCCCTACCCCTTGAGCCACAGCGCCACTTCTGACTTTTTCTGCTTATGTGGTGCTGAGGAATCGAACCCAGGGCCTCATGCATGCAGGGCAAGCGCTCTACCACTGAGCCACCTTCCCAGCCCTGGAGAATTTTTTTAATCTACTAATTTTTCTATAATGAACACATGTAATCAAATTTAACAAACTTTATTTTAATATTATTTATGAACAAGAATAGATAAATGTATTAAGGATCTCAATCTTTGTTATTTGGGAATATAATGGAGTTGGTTTAAACTGCTTATTTATACCATAGAGTATCTCTAATAAACTACTCAGAAAAAGGTGGAAGTGGCATTGTGGCTCAAGTGGCTGAGCACAGAGAGGCTCAGCAACAGAGTCCAGGCCCTGAGTTCCAGTCCCAGGACCAGCAAAATAATTTTAAAAAAAAAGCTACTGCACAGCAAAAGAAAGAATGACCATAGTAAAGAGACAGTTTACAGAATGGTAGACACAGCAATTCATATACCAGATCAACATCCGAATGTGTAAAGAACTCAAAACCATGTTTAAACAAGAGGTCCAATGCATAAAGGGGCTAACAACTTCATAGTTCTCAAAAGAATGGCCAATAAATACAAAAAGAGATTTTCAATGTTTTTGGCCATCAGGTCAATACAAAGTAAAACAGCATTGGGAAGCTGAGCACCAGTAGCTTTACACATGTAATCCTAGCTATTGAGGTGGCTAAGATCTGAAGGACTGTGGTTCAAAACCAGCTTATTAGAGTCCATCTCCAAAATAACTTGGCAGCATGCTCAAGTGGCAAGAGCGCCAACCAAGCAAGATGAACAAGTGCAAGGCCCGGAGTTGAAAACCCAGTGATGACACACACAAGTAAAAAAGTAAACAAATAAGCAAAACCCACTAAGACTGTACTGCACGCTAATCAAAATGAAAATAGTCTTTTGGTCTCCATGGCAGAAGCAAGATGCCCAAGGGACACATACATACACGGGGGCTGTCACCATGCTGTAAGGCCTGATACCTTCAGAAGTCAACCTATGGTAAGTGTAGCTACCCCGCAAAGCACAAGATCAAGTATATCTGGAATACACTAACACACTCATGTTTATTGTGGGACTGTTCACTATTGTGGGACTGTTCACAACAGCCAAGTTACAGAATCAACCTAAGGGCCCATCAATCAATGAACTATATATAAAGAAAATGTGGTCTGTATGCATATACAATAGAGTACGATATATGTATATACATATACATGTACAGTAGAGAAGACAGCAATTATGTATTTGTGGAAGGATGGAATTGGAGATCATCGTGTTAAATGAAAAAGGTTGGACTTAGGAAGACATATATTTGCCTGTTTCTCTGGCATTTGGAGTTTAAATTTTAAAAAAAAGAAAAAGTATAGACTATTTGGCATACAAGGACCAGCATAAAGGGGAAAGGAAGACAATAGTAGAGAATATTACATGCATGCATTAAATGCCAAAATAAACCAACTAATTTGGTACAATTAAAATATATTTTGTAGAAACTGGAGGCATGGTTCAGGTTGAAGAGTGCCAGCCAATGAAAGAAAGCAAACATCTACACACTGAATTCAAGTCTTGGTCTCAGACTAAATAAATAAATAGTATATTTCTAAAGAAATAAAGATTTAAGAATAGTGTGATGACCTACACACCTATAAACCAAGTTACTTGGAAGGCTGAGGTAGAAGGACTGCTTGAGCCCATGCACCAAAGACAAGCCTGAACAACACAATCTTCCCCATACATATGTACATACATACAAACACATACATACATTCATATATATATATGTACGTTCATGCACACATACATATATACACAAAACAGAATTAAAGCAAATCAATTTACACTTCAATTGGCTTAATCCTAACTACTAGGAAAATATTTTCACAGGTTTGAAGACAAATATCATCTTTTTCTTTTGGGGGGAGGGAGGTGCCAGTCTGGAGCTTGAACTCAGGGCCTGGGTGCTGCCCCTGAGCTTTTGTGCTTAAGGTTAGTGCTCTACCACTTGAGACATGGCACCACTTCCAGCATTTTTTGTATTTATTGGAGACAATTCTCACAGGCTTTCCTTCCTAGCATTCTACCACCTGAGCCCTATTTTTTGCTAGTTATTTTTTGAGATAGGATCTTGAGAATGCTTCTGCCTGGGATGACCTCAAGTACAGTCCTTCCTCTCTTAAGTAGCCAGAATTACACACATGAGCCACCAGTGCCCAACTTACGATTTTAAATACTAAAAGTACACTCAGTAAAATAGAAAAATGAAACTTCAAAATAAAGGCTTATTCAGCTGAGATAGGACCTTCCTCTATTCCTGATTGGGATGTAAGTACAGGGCAAAATATTTGTAGCTTTCTCAAAGAACAAATTTTCTTAAATAAGTTTAGCAAAAATTGCTCAAAATTAAGTTAATTATATACTAAATATTTTTACTAGAGAGTTTCTACTTGATTAGCCTCAGACAAATACATTAATAATATTGGATCTAGTGAGAAAACACCACAGGTAGAGTTGATTTTATTTTTCCAGTCCTGGGGCTCGAACTCAGGCCCGGGTACTATCCCTGAGCCTCTTTTGTGTTCAAGGCTAGCATTCTACCACTTGAGCCACAGCACTACTTTGAGCTTTGTCTGAGTAATTTATTGGAGATAAACAGTCTCACAGACTTTCCTGCCCAAGCTGGCTATGAACCTCAATCCTCAGATCTCAGCCTCCTGAATAACTAGGATTACAGGCATAAGCTACCAGCACCCGGCTTGATTTTAAATTGCACCTATAAGCCTGAAATGTATTACAGTTTAGAGCGCTAAGTGCCATACACTCGCCAACTCCCATTTAGTAAATAAGAATTGGCCTGGAACGCCAGCAGTGATGGTGTAGGCCTGTAAGCCCAGCACTCATCAGTAAAATGAGATAGGATTTCAAATCTGAAGCCAGCCTGAAACTACAGTGAGTTAGGCCTGGTGCTAGAACATGGGCCAGGTTGGCTACATCCATAGTAAGAACTGTTTCAAAAATAGATTGGGGGCTAGGAAGATGGCTCAGTGGTAGAGCGCTTGCCTTGCATGCATGAGGCCCTGGGTTCGATTCCTCAGCACCACATAAAGAAAAAAGAAAAAAGCCGGAAGTGGCGCTGTGGCTCAAGTGGTAGAGCGCTAGCCTTGAGCTGAAGGACAGTGCCCACAGTTCAGGCCCCATGACCGGACCCCCCCCAAAAAAAAAAATTTTATGAGACATGATTAAAGGAAAATACAAACTATATACTAAAGACAAGAGTATCACTGGAAAAATCTTATTTCATCAAGCCTTCTAGGAAATCTAAATCTAAATGAGATCAAATCAAAATGGGACCAAAAAAAAAAACTTGAGTTTCAAATACAAAGCAAGTAATGGCAGAGGTAGATCCAATTTTCATTGAACAAATTCAGCTTAGTATTTGTAGTTTTTCTTACATGCACAAATCCACAACACGACAGCAATCAGAAATAAATGAATAAATTATTATTTTTTTTTTTTTTTGTCGGTCGTGGGGTTTGAACTCTGGGCCTGGGCGCTGTCCCTCAGCTCTTCAGCTCAAGACGAGCGCTCTACCATGAATAAATTATTTTTTAATTCACTTATCCTCAGCATCCACCACTCAGAATATCCTACTTACCTTTTCAGATGTCCTAAGAGAAGATGGCCATTGTCAAATTCCTTGTTACACTGCATTATCGGGCATGAAACTGGCTTCTCAGACTTCTGCATTTGTCCTCCTTTCCGGAATGAATTCCTTGTTCCAGAATTAATTGTGCCTATTTTGAGTCCTGCAACAAAATATAAATTTGTGTTACTATTTTATATACTTTTCTTTTGGACTGGTAAACAAAATTATGACAAGCTGGGCACTGGTGGCTCATGCTTGTAATCTTAGCTACTCTGTAATGTGAGGATCACAGTTTAAATCCATCATGGGCAGGAAAATCTATGAGACTCTTATCTTCAATTAACTACCAGAAAACCAGAAGGGAAGCTGTGGCTCAAAGTGGTAGAGTGCTAGTCTTCAGCAAAAGAGCTAGGGACAGTGCTCAAGCCTCAAGCAGTACATCTCCTCTCTCTCTCTCACACACACACACACACACACACACACACACACACACACACACACACACACACACACACACACACACACACACACACACGGAAAATTACAACACAGTGTCAACTGTTGGGTTCTAATTTTAACTGTTTATGATCTCTTTGACAAAAATGCCCTTTAACATCTCCAAATTACATTAAGGGTAAGAAAATTTTCAAAAATTCAAACAAGAAATATTAAAGGCTAAATGTATTAGAAAATCAATAAGCTTCTGCTTCCTTCATTTCACTTCTATAAGATGGTAAAAATGTTTTTCTTCCAATTTTTGTCATTTTAATAATTGTAAATGTTCTATGTGGTTGAGTTAAAGAGGGCCTGAGCTCGGTGTAGCTGACGGGGGCATAAAGAAGGCAGGGAGGCAAAGAAGGGTGAGAATTCTTTCCTTAGGAATCCAGCCATTGATCCATCAGCTCCAACCTAGACATCAACTAATGCAGGTCTCAGTAAGAACAAATATATAGCACACAGAGCCATGTTTTACTTACTGTTATCTCTTCCCTTTGTATTTATTCTATTTTTCTCTTTTCCCCTTAAAAAATTCAATTAGTAAAGCTTGTCCATTGTTGTCGTTTCTTTTTATCTACCATTGACAATTCCAAGAAAATTCCAACATCTGACATATAATGGAAATTTTAGGTATGCTGTTTAAGAACTGCAAATCGTCAGGAGGATTCTGACACACTGGTAGTTTCATTACTTCTTTAATAGCTCTTCTGAACTGTTTCACAGAAATTCCTTAAATAATTTATAATAGTATTTTTATGACAGTACATACAAAGCCTCTAAGCATCTAACCAAATTAAAACTTTTCAATAGCATAACTTAGTTTTTTACTCTACAAACAGCTGTATACATTTAAGATTTTAAAACTGCTTTCACTCCTTATGTGGTATTGCAACTGTCTATCAAAATTCATATACATGTATTCAGACAATAAGGAAATGGATAGGATAGCACTGATCATACTTTAGTCTTTGTACTGATAACTGTGCGTGCTGCTGCCTTGGACATGCTGAGCATGGATCACTGAGCTGTATCACCAGTCCTGCTTTTAGCCCTATCTCCCACGTGGAAAGACAAGATATACTCTAAACTTTTCCACTAAATAATATAGAGAACACTGTTTTAAAATTAGTAAGTAGCTAGATTTATGTAAATAAGTCCCACTGTAAAGATATACAAAAAATAGATCAAGCTGGTTACAGCGGTGTATATTTAATCCCAGCACTAGAAAGGTAGGGGTATACCTGGTATGTTTATATGACATGAACATTCTTCCTGCACTAAGATTAACATGAAGTTCAGTAATTTCTCCTGCTATACTAAACTCAATCCTTGTTAAAACTTTCGAGGCTAGGGGTGATAATCATAATACCTGGCATTTTTAGCCACTGGTCCACACATAGTCTTGCTGCTTCTGTGTCAGAATGTCCTCGAATAAATTCCAATTCTTGTAACCCATGAGCATGCTGAAAATCAATTTTTTCCTAAAGATATTAAAAAAAGAACTCAGTTGACTAATAATTACTACTAGCTTCCTTGAAGAAAAGATTTTAAAATATCATGATCATAAAATACTGGTTCTCTTTATCCCAAGTACTCTATAGTTAGAAATCTATAAAGAAAAGCATTTATCAAAATAAAAGTTCAAGCTGGGTGCTGGTGGCTCACTCCTGTAATCTTGGCTACTCATGAGGCTGAGATATGAGGACAGCAGTTCAAAGCCAGCTCAAGCAAGAAAGTCTGTGAGACTCTTATCTCTAACTACCAAAAAGCTGGAAATGGAGCTATGGTGCCAAGTGGCAGAACACTAGCCTTGAGCACAAAAGTTCAAGGGATAGCACCCAGGTCCTGAGTTCATGCTCCAGGATTAACATGTTCAAAGTTTGCTACAACCTACATTGTCATAATAGATTTTTTTTTTGGGGGGGGGTTCAGTTGCCCACATCTGAACTCTGGGCCTAGGCGCTGTCCCTCAGCTCTTCAGCTCAAGGCTAGCGCTCTACCACTTGAGCCATAGCTCCACTTCCAGCTTTTTTCTTTTTGCTTATGTGGTGCTGAGGAATCGAACCCAGGGACTCATGTATGCAAGGCAAGGCCTCATGTATGCAAGGCAAGCGCTCTACCACTGAGCCACCTTCCCAGTCCCTCAATCAAGTCTTTAATTAAAGACTTCTATTTGCATCACTATTATAGACACATACCCTGAATGCTCTATTCTTCTCTTCTTTTTGCTGTTTTTCCACTTCAACATGTTGAGCCAGACGAGCCAAAGTTAGAGAAACTTTATCCTTCTGATGATCAATATAGTCTTTAGGTTTAAAAATCTCCTACAATGGAAAAACCATCACTTTAATACAAAATTAGCACTTAAGATAAATATATATTCATTCACCAAACAGCTACTAAAGAACCATTTAAATCTGTTTTCATATTTTTAAGAACCTACCTGGTATATTTTATATTTATATGATATTTTGTAGATCAGTCAATTGATACGCTAAGAAGAGAAAAAATGGAAATATATGTATATATATATATATATATATATATATAACATTCATTTTGAAAATGACAAAAGGCAGTAGAAGAGTACCAGACAAAAATAGAAACAAAGAAAGGACAACAAACAATAATGTGATCCTAATAGCATTTATAATCATTTTAAATATGCCAATTTACAGATTGCAATCAACCATGCACTATTAAGTAATCCTCTTTAAATACAGAGACATGTACACATAAAAAGCAAAGATATAGAGAAAAACTTTGCTAACACTCATCACAACAAAGTAGGCCAACTATGTAAACTTTAAACAGTAAATTGGGACAGAACAAGAACATTAATCAGAGACCTCAAGAGGATAATTGAGAAATGCTAATTCCATGCCCACAAATACAAGAGTCTAGAGGAAGGTGGGAACTGGTGGCTCACTTCCATAATCCTAGGTACTCAGGAGGCTGAGATGTGAAGTTCAAAGCCAGCCTGGGCAGAAGAAAAGTCCATGAGACATTTATCTCTAATTAACCACCAGAAAACCATTAGTGATGATGTGGCTCAAAGAGGTAGAGCACTAACTAGCCCAAGCAAAGAGCTCAAGAACAGCACCCAGGCCCTGAGGTCAAGCCTGATGCACAAGGAAAAAAAAAAAAACACCTCAGCTAGAGGAAATGAAACAATACCTTGAAAGACACAGTTGCTGAAAACTTACACAAGCCACAGGCAATCTGAATAAATTTGTTAACTACTAAAATAAATCAATCATCATTAACAGATAAATTTTCAAAACAGACAAATTCTCTGGCATATTGCACCCAACATTCTAAAATCTCTTCCAGTAAACATAAACACAAGAATTACATCCTAACTTACTCCATGAAGCCACCACTACCTTAAATCCAGATCCAGAAAATGGCACTATAAAAGAAAGCTAAAAGCAGAATCTCTAGTGAACACAGTAAAAATCTAACACTTGTCAACAATATGACACTGTTGTGAAAAATGTGATCTGTGGTGCAAACTGCACAAGAAAATAATCATTAAATGAGCAAATGACACATTACAAATCCTTGTCATCCATTACTGTTAAATTTAAATTCAATAACTTTCTTCATTAAAACAGATTAGCTTATATATAAATCATAACTATATTAAAATCTAAAAAGCTGTAAGAAAAATATTTTAGTAGATATTTTAAAGTATTTTTAGTAGCTATTTCTATCTGGAGAATTTTTTTTTTTGTCGGTCATGGGGCTTGAACTCTAGGCCTGGGTGCTGTCCCTTAGCCCTTCAGCTCAAGGCTAGTGCTCTACCACTTGAGCCACAGCGCCACTTCCAGTTTTCTAGTGGTTTATTGGAGATA